CTGAATTCTGCCCTCTCTGTGTTTTGTTTGGATTCTTGTAATTCGGTCATCTTGAAATACTAATACTATGATTACAAATAAATTACTACGCATTTGCATAAGGAGACGAACACTTTTGTCCATTCAATCAACCAATAGGGAAGAAGTTCACATTGCGAATTAAATCTTTATTTGAACATCTAGTGAAATGTAGTTGGAATGATGTATTTGAATTCAAAGGTAGAATTAAATATAATTAACATGAAAGATAAAAACTATGATATCTTTCGGTGCTTTTAATCTGTAATCTATGGATATAGACGCCAATGTTGTCAATGACATGTTCGATGAACCTTTCTTGATTCTGTACTCAGATGTCTTATGTTAAATAAGCTCTCCTTGACACAAAAAGAAGTCTTGGGCTGCTAACTGGATGTACCCTTATTTCTCAAACAGAATGCAGTAAACTGTATATAAGGGTGAATCTTCTTCTACCTTGCTTCCTGAAGCTGGTATCTCTCAAGGGGCTGTTCTCTCTATCGTCTTCTGTTTTCTTTCTTCTTACATGAATTTCCGCTTTCAAATGAAATTAACTTCGTCAAATACACTGATGATCTAACTGTCTCGATGTCAGTTACGTCCTAATTTTACTGTTCCACACTCAATAACTCTCTGTCGGACATTAACCAGTCTTCTAAGATAAATGGTCTTACATTAAATCCCTTTAAATATCAGACAGTTAACTTTGCCTTCAGGCATAAACGTGATCTACACAAACTGATCCGTTCACAAGATGCTGATAGCAGAGAGGACATTGAAACAGAAGCTATGAGTCAAGCATAGCACGCCTTGAAATATTTCTGTCCTCTGATTTATCTTGATCATTCTATATCTCTATTGATTTCTACAAAAATATTCCGTCGAACCTTCTATATTAGGAAGTTAAGACAATCAGGTGTCACTTAATCTGTAATTCTACAATTTGTTAACTCTTGCATCTTACCTATTGCTAATTACTACTCCACCTTAGTCTTTCCTAGCCTACTCACTCAAAAAAGACTACGTCATATTCCGAAGGGTATTAAAGGTTGTCAGTTGGGCAAGTAGTGTGACATTAATTCCATTATGGGTAAAAAATTTTTTTTGGCAAAGTCTTACAGCGCTGTTATACAGTAATATTTACTGATGACAACGTTTCGAGCACAATTTATTACAGCTAATAAGCATATCAAGCTGCTCACCAACACAACTTTCTAACTTCGTTTATATAATTCCATCACTGTTTTGCATCTCATGATTTGATTGGTAGTAGTATTTTCCATATTTGATGAGTCATTTCTATTGCATGTATTGTGTTGGGTGTAGACTCGATGAACTAGGCGGATTCAATAATCAACCTCTCTCTCCACCTACCTATGTAACAATAGAAGACAAGGGCCAGGCAACAGATCGTTTTATTATGAAAATCAACACGTATTTATATATATTTCACATACATTATTATAGCTTATGCAAGTAGACAAGCGCAGTTATCTGATTGGTTGTTTATCAGAAGTTAGGCAGACAAACGCAGGCTTCTGATTGGTTGTTTCGGGATTCCTTGAAAAATAGAGTTCTCTATCTGCGAATCATATTTTGCCACGTTAACTCTGCTGTGATTGGTTGTTGAATCAGCCTTGTACATATTTTCTCACGGCCTGCTCTCACCACACCTATATTACTTTTAGAATTTTGAATCTGTCCCAGACACCCCATTGTGTGTGTTGTTGTGTGTTAATGGATGAGGTGCAATTGTTGAGCTTTGCTAAGAACTAGCTAAATTCTTATTTTCTGACAGGCAATCTCACTACTCACACTCATTGCTAGGTATTTTGTAAATTATATAATTTTGTCTAGTTGGCTCTATTGGGTTTCCTAACTTACAGAGCTTGTCTCTGAGTGAGTTTGTAGGTTTGAATGCCATTCTAATTCCTGCCTTATTAGGAATTAAGGATTCTTAAACTATTTCAATTTAATGTATAGTTTTTAACTATTAGCATTATTATCCTCATAATTACTGTACACTTTTTGTACACTTTCCACTTTATTGTCACCGGAAATATCAAGGAAGCGGTATTTCTATCAATCTTGGTCACGTATGCAATTTTGATGTTGTCCAGTAAATTAGATGCAATAATATTTTACTAAATGCTTAGAATTACACACTATATCATAATTACTGTTGTGGAATAAAGTAAATTGTTATTAATATTAGTAGTAATAACAATAATTCTTTAACTGTTATGGATGCCTATAACTGTAGAACTTGAAGTTGCTGAGAACGAGAATATTTTTGAACAAAGCAAGAACTACAGTTTTAGCTGAATAAACTGGTACCATCATTGTTTATTTCGTTGCCTTCTCGTCAGCTGCTTACATGGCAAAGACATTATTAAATGTATCTACAAAAACAATTTGAACATACCTGCACAGCGACTTCATTTTAAACAAAAATCAATCAATCAATTTATGCATACACTAATATATATATATATGTATATATATGTAATATTCACTTGATGACGCCATTACTGGAGAAGGTGTGGAAAGAGGGCGAAGTACCCGAGGATTGGAAGAAAGGATACTTATTCAAACTACCAATGCAAAAACTGGGCCATCCCAAACAAAATACTAAGCCGCATCATCCTGGAGAGAATCAAACACGCCGCCCTGAATAAAAAACTTCGCCCGGAACAGGCCGGATTCAGGAGAAACAAATCATGTATTGATCAAATCGCCACTCTACGGATCATCATTGAACAAAGCTTGGAATGGCAGTCACCTCTCTACCTCACTCAACTTCATCGACCGTCAGCGGACAGCGTCGATCAAGAGTTCATTTGGAAACTGCTTCGCTACTAAGGGTGCAATCGACAATTATACATCTCATCCAACAGTTGTACGGCAATGCTGCATTCCAAGTAATCCACAACGGGAAACTTACGGAAGCCTTCGAAGTGAGGACGGAGTGAAGCAAGGTGGCTGCCTACTATCGCCAATGATCTTCCTGATTGCAGTAGATTGGATAATGCGACAGACAACAAGCAATGAGAAAACAGGCATAAAATGGACTCACACAAAAGACTTGGAGGATCTGAACTTCGCCGATGCGATATATATGTCAGATTTCCCACAAAGTGGAAGATATGCAAGTGACAAGCAACAAGTTGATGGTGGAAGAAGCATCCGGAGAAAATAGGACTTCAGGTGAACATAGAGGAAACAGAGGTAGGTGATGAAGATTCTTGGCCAACACCAACAACAGACAACAATCAGCATAAATGCGAGGAACTTGAAAGAAAAAACCCCTTTACCTACCGACCTGTGTCGCATAGTTTCAAGTACAGGCAAACGAAACTGAAGAGGATATCAAAGCCAGAATCGGAAAAGCAAGAAAAGCTTTCATTACTCTCAAGTCTGTGTGGAGGTCAACAACACTCAGCATCAAAAATAAGATCCGGATTTTCAACTCCAATGTAAAGTCAGTGCTAGTATACGGATCAGAGACTTGGCCGGCGCGTCATAAAGAGCATCTCCAACAAACTTCAGACCTTCATTAACAGTTGTCTTCGCTCAATTCTCAAGATCAGATGGCCGGCCAGAAAAGATCAGCAACAGGATCTCTGGCAATGAGCAAACCAACCCAGCAGGAACCGATTGTGAAACAAATAGGCAGGAAGAAATGGAGATGGATTGGCCATAGTCTGAGAAAGCGAACCATCAAGTGACATCACTAGACAAGCCCTCGAGTGGAACCGAAAGGGAGGCGGCGAGTTGATCATCCAAGAGTGACTTGGAAGAGGTCATGTGTAGAGGAGATGGAAGCATGTGGGCAGACTTGGAGCGGGGTGAAGAAGTTGGCAGAAAACCGAACGCAATGGAGACGTGCAGCTGAATCCCTATGTTCCTCTAGGAACTAAAGGATATAATAATAATATGTAATATGTAATGGTTAACACTATTCCGAACAATAATAATCATACACACTGGAAACTTTTAGCATTTCGCATTCTGATGAAAATATCCATTTACCAGGATGGGAAAGGAAAGACTGATAACTGCTTCTTTCTGGTGGTATAAGTCAGTTTTCAGGTTCTTGATGGAAATGGCTTCAGCAAACTTGAGGAGAATTGAGCTCTTTTGTCTATTGATTATTTTGAACAACTTTTTGACGTCCACCTGATGACTCGTGTCAAGCAGATGCAATGGCACTGTTTAAAGCATTTGTCCCTTTTAGACATAAGCTTTTTGGTACATGTTCAGAAAATCGCAGATACGCCCCTCTTTCTGTCCTTCCAATGTAACTGCTCCCGCAGATATATGTGTGTGTATGATTATTATTGTACGAAATAATGTTTAATATTATATATATATTATTAGTGTATGCATAAATTGATCGATTGATTTTTGTTTAAAATGAAGTCGCTGTGCAGGTATGTTCAAATTGTTTTTGTAGATATATTTTATTATGTCTCTGGCCTGTAAGCAGCTGACGAGAAGGCAACGAAATAAACAATGATGGTGACACTTTATTCAGCTTAAACTGTAGTTCTTGCTTTGTTGAAATTCTTCTTTAGGGGGATAAATGCAAAAAAACAAGAAGATTCTTTGACCTTTACTAACTTGAACGAATCTCTCAAAACTCTTTACGGGCACTTTACTAAAAAATAAACAGTCGAAATAACAGTAAGGCATAAAGCTACAATACCATTTGTCTGCTTCTGACTTGCGTAATCTCACTTATTGACCTTAACTAACTAACTAGCTAGTAAAGTGACTGGAAGACAGCATCACTTCTAACCAGTATTATGTATATAGTGTGATCTTTCTTATATTGTCAACCAATCAAATTGTTGTTTATAGATTTTTGTTTGCAAAAAGCTGATTGGTTGTAATTTTATGTATTTGTCAATACCTTGATTATGATTGGTTAGAATATTTTGTATTAGTGATATTGCTGCTATTTTGGCAGACAGTTAGTTTATTTACCTTACTTACTATCACCACATACATTATTATTAGTTAGACAAAGTTGGATTCACCACATTTGCTCTTTATTTTTGTCAAAACGATAGAATGGATATTAGTCATATTTTAATATTATGAAGAAAAACACATGGATATATGTTTATACGATAAATTTCCTAATTTCTTTAAATGACCCATATGTGAAAAAGGATTAAATGAATTTAAATTGAATTATTAAAGCATGGATGTAGATCTTTCGGAACTTGATGATTGGTTAGGTACCTTGGAAGAATTACAGCTGGTAAGTTTGTCTTTGCGTTTGTTCAGTATATGTCCAATGTTTATTAATATATATATGCATTCTATGGGTTAATAATACTGATCCCAGCCCAAAAGTATGTGGAACCTTAGTTATAAGCATAAAAAATTGTTTTACTAAGTCGAATAGCAGATAAAGCCAAGCAAATATTTATGTGACAGTTAAAGAGAACAGTCAAAACGATGCCGACCAAGATAGGGAAAGCACCTGAACACGAACGTTAGGCTTTTTAGGATAGATTCCGACAGCGTCAAAGTTGAACAATAACGACCCAAGAGATGCGAACGCAGGAGTAACCTTGAGCCAACCAGCCATTAAAAATTAATGATTTTTTCACAAAAAGTGACGTTTATTTACAAGAAAATACATTAAACAGGATGTTTGTCTCTGACACAACCTGAGAGTAGCTCTTAATTTTGATGAGGAGTATCAATTTGTAAGTTAGACTTGGTGGTCACTCCAAACTATAGCAGCCCGAACCGAAATCACCTAGCAAATGGACAATGGACCTTCACAAGGAAAACTTTGACCAATCAGAATCTCTCAAAAAAACGGCGCATAATTTGAATAAACCGTTTATATATAAGTAATGCAATCTTAAATAATAGTTACAAGGGATGACGTTCTCGTTTATGTTCCAAGAGAACCTCCCAATTTCTCATAGGAGTTTCGATACTCATGTTAAACCAATTCATGTACATACACTCGTCGAGATAACTGTATATCATTGCATTTCTTCATCCATTCACCGATTTGAGCCGTTATTTTAGGTGACTCCAAAACCTCTCGATGGAATTAGTGTGAGTTCCATCAAAAAGATTGATAAAACCATTTTCATGGTTGACCGCTTGATGAATATAGCCCTGATTTGGTAACTGACTGTAACTACTGCATTCATCTGTATGAACAGTCTCTGCAGTACTGGTACCATTGCACTCCAGATACTTCCGAATTTTCTACTTCATAAACTGTTGCTGTTACTGGTCTTTTCAGTTTGCAAATTTGCAACGGAAAAGGTGTACGGCACCCATAAGTACGTCTGGAAAATGCGGAGTCACCTGATTGGTTGCTCAAGGTCATTTGTCCGTTCGCTAGGTAGTTTCGGTTTGGGCTGCTATAGTTTAGAGTTACTGACCTGTTTCTGTACATTTGTAGTCACCGAGATGACTTAAGGTGAGCCATTGTTTATAACCCGTTTACTGCTCTTATCCTGTTTTGCAGTCTTCCCTCAAAGCACTCGATTGGATTACTATAATTTCCAGTGAGGGGATCCACAACTGATTGCTAGGGAAATATGGATAGGAAGACATATTAAAATAAATAATACTAACTCTAAATCTGTCCCTAATAGTAATACTAATCTTAAAACTAACCTGAATTATAACCCTGATCCTAAAGCTTTTTCTTTTTTTCCTTCACGTTCCCCAGTGGAACATAGGGCCTCAAGCTAGTGGCTTGAAGTTTCTGTGGCAGTGTTTATTTTTACAGGATGGGGTTGCTAGCCTCATGCCCAACCTTTCCTCTTTACCAGCATTATCTCTGGCATAGAGAGGTAAAGGAGTGCGTCTGTGGCCGGGAATCGAACCCAGGACCATATGCATGGCTGGTGAGCGTGCTAACCACTGTGCCACCAACGCACGACCCTAAAGCTAATGCCTACAATAACACTAATCCTGACCCCAACGAGTTATTAACAAATTGTCCGAATAGTATTTAAAAACTTGATCTGGGTGTGATTGGCATCTTAATTCATGGATAGCGTTCATATTTGCTCTATAATAACGACAAGTGTCGTCAGCATTCAAGGTCATTGGAACGTTCACAACCCCGCGGGACGCTGTTGTTTAAATTCTAGGTAAAAAACCTTGTTTGCATCAAATTTGTGTTAAGAATCTATCCAATGAACTGAAATACAGCTGCGAGTAGACGTTGTTTGTCGTCTTTCTCACCACGCAGGATGATATTCGGGAATTCTGTAATAAACATGCCTGAAGAGCCTGTTACATAAGGCAAAGCATTAGGCGTGTTAATCTTTGGTTATCCGAACATCATCCTACATACTTGTTAAGCAGAGGATAATTTACGTTCATTCCCAGCTCTGTTTTAGCCAATCTTATCGATCCTAAATACAAAATAGATTTTAACGAGGCCCTTAAAGCTTAATTCAATTTCTCCCTTACGAGTTTGTAAGTTCTCGGAATCCATCCTAAGAAGTTCAGCTTGCTAATAGTTCTCTTTGGCCATTTGACTGTCTGTATGGAACAAAGGCAGCTGCTGATAAAAGTCCTATCCGTTACACTTTGGCCAAGTTTCTGACCCGTATAGAAGGATCGATTTGACGTTGATGTTGAAAATGCAAATCGTGTTCTTTATACTGGCTGAGTGCAATATGTTTCCGAAGTGGTTTCAGTTTGATGAAGGCGTATCTTACCTAGCTTTGACATCTTCATCCGTTCTGATTGCCTGTAGTTGAAACGATACTTCCTTGCTGGATAAGTAAAAGAGGTAACCTCTGTTATATTACTATACTATGCTACTGACAAATCTAATCAGTAGCACAGGCCACACTGTTATTGAACTTTTCGTTACCTTTTTTTCAACCATTTGGGTAAATGATCTATCATGCAAGTAGAAAATTGCCTTTTTGTCCAGCTTATGTATGAGGACGAAAGTGAGTAGATGTACAATGTCACCTTTAGGAATAGTCTCGTAACCAGGTATTCGTTTCGCCATAGTTCGTGTAGATTTCGTAGATGCCTTGCCTTACTCTAACAGATTCGCTTACCTATTCGTATACAATTAGATTTCCTTTAGCTGCACCATTCACTGATATTATAGCTGAAACAATATCAAAGGTATTTATTCAACACTTAGATGTCTCTAGCAAAATAAGAACTAATAGAGGAGATCAATTCAAGTCATAACTTTTAACTTGTTGAAGTTTCCAGGATAATACACAATCTACTGCACAATATATATCACCCTAAAGCGAATAGGGTGATAGAATAGTTTCATCGGCAATTTAATTATTATTATTATTATTATTGTATCCTTTAGTTCCTAGAGGAACATAGGGCTTCAGCTGCGCACCTCCATTGACTTCGGTTTTCTGACAACTTTTTCACCCTGCTCCAGGTCTGCCCACATGCTTTCATCTCCTCTTCACATGACCTCCTCCAAGTCACCCTTGGACGACCAACTCGCCGCCTCCCTTTCGGGTTCCACTCGAGGGCTTGTCTAGTGATGTCACTTGATGGTTTCCTCAGCGTATGGCCAATCCATCTCCATTTCTTTCTGCCTATTTGTTTCACAATCGGTTCCTGATTGGTTCGCTCCCAGAGATCCCTGTTGCTGATCTTTTCTGGCCATCTGATCTTGAGTATTGAGCGGAGACAGTTGTTAATGAAGGTTTGAAGTTTGTTTGAGATGCTCTTTATGACTCGCCAAGTCTCTGATCCGTATAGTAGCACTGACTTCACATTGGAGTTGAAAATCCGGATCTTATTTTTGATGCTGATTGCTGTTGACCTCCACACAGATTTGAGAGTAATGAAAGCTTGTCTTGCTTTTCCGATTCTGGCTTTGATGTCCTCGTCAGTTCCGCCTGTAGTTGAGACGATGCTTCCCAGGTAGGTGAAGGAGGTTGTTTCTTTCAGGTTCTTCCCATTTATGCTTATTGTGGTCTGTTGTTGCTGTTGATGTTGGCAAGGAATCTTCATCATCTCTGTTTTATCTATGTTCACGTGAAGTCCTATCTTTGATGCTTCTTCTGCCAACTTGTTACTTTTCATTTGCATATCTTCCAGTTTATGGGAAATCAGACATATATCATCGGCGAAATCCAGATCCTCCAAGTCTTTTGTGTCAGTCCATTTTATGCCTGTTCCCTCGTTGGTTGCCGTTGTCTGTCGCATTATCCAATCAATTGCAATCAGGAAGATCATTGGTGATAGTAGACAGCCTTGCCTCACTCCCGTCCTCACTTCGAAGGCTTCCGTAAGTTTCCCGTTGTGGATTACTTGGCATGCAGCATTGTCGTATAACTGTTGGATGAGGTGTATAATTGTCGATGGGACCCCGTAGTAGCGAAGTAGTTTCCAAATGACCTCTCGATCGACGCTGTCGAAGGCCTTTTCAAAGTCGATGAAGTTGAGATAGAGAGGTGACTGCCATTCCAAGCTTTGTTCAATGATGATCCGTAGAGTGGCGATTTGATCAATACATGATTTGTTTCTCCTGAATCCAGCCTGTTCCGGACGAAGTTTTTCATCTAGGGCTTGTTTGATTCTCTCCAGGATGATGCGACTTAGTATCTTGCTTGGAATGGACAGAAGCATAATTCCACGCCAGTTTTTACATTGACTTAAGTCTCCTTTCTTTGGAAGTTTGAATAAGTAACTGTTCTTCCAATCCTCGGGTACTTTGCCCTCTTTCCACACCTTCTCCAGTAGTGGTGTCATCAAGTCCGCTGTTGTCTCTGGGTCTATTTTCAAAGCCTCTGCTGGGATTCCATCTGGTCCCGGTGTTTTCCCAGTTTTAAGCATCTTGATTGCATTCAGGACTTCTGATTTCGTCGGGGGGTCAGTGTTCACTGGTAGTTCTGCTTCCGTTGTTGGTATTGCTGGACGTGTTGTAGGTGGCGGACGATTTAGAAGTCTTTTGAAGTGTTCAACCCAGTGCTTTCTCTGTTCCACCTCTTTGGTGATTGACTTTCCATTGTCGTCCTTTATTGGCTTAATCTGTGTCGAACGTTTGCCCGAAAGGTTCCTAGTTGTTTGGTAGAGTGTGGCGAGGTCTCCTTTGCCTGCAGCTTGTTCTGCTTCGTTTGCCATGGTTTCATAATATTTTCTTTTGTCTTCCCTGGCACTTTTCTTCACTCTTTTGTTCAGTGTATTGTAGCTTGCATTCAGCTCCTGTTTTTGTTGCTCGTCGTGCACTGGATAATCTTTTGCTTCACTGTCCTTCTCTCTTCTATTAGTTTC